GACCCCTTAGCTCAGGAGATGTGGTGGCCCTTCCTTTAAAAGCTTTCCCGTTGATCCTTAGCTCAAGTGGCTTTTTCCCCTCCGCTTTATAATCTGACTAAAACGCAATTCACTGAGCAGGTCTCAGTGAGCCGAGCGGGAGGAGCTCGTGAGCATCACTCAGCAGGGAAAGGGCTGGGGCTGGGGAGCTCCGAGCCTTTGTGTTTCTCAGCGATTTGCTCAATCTGCCTGCGTTAGGGAAACGCAAGATCTCATGCATTTTAAAATCTTCCCTCTCCGAGGGCAGGCCCCGGGTTAGCAGGTCAGCCCAGCTAGGTGAGCCGTTTAGAGCGCATTAAAACCACAATTTATGCAATCTGCACTCAAGTGTTAGGAAGAGCTGGCAATCAGGTGCTTAATAAAATCACCTACAGCCCTCCTCTTTTGGCTCGCTGGAAATAAATGCCTTTTTTACATGATAAAAATGGATTAGGAGTCATTTGGAGTTGTTATCCAGGCGTGGGGCACGCAGGCCTGCGGTGCCATTGGGGCATTGCTGGGGAGAGCATTCCAACTGCCAGCACTGGAACGTCCCCCGTGTGCCTGAGCTGATTGGCAGCTCCACTCCTTCTTTTTGTTTCTGTTCCCGAATGGAACTGCAAAACAAAATTCAGTGTGGCTTGGAAAAAAAAAAAAAAAAAGTAAAATTATATGGAAATGTGACTTTTTTCTGACTCTTTTTTTTTTTAATGTGGAAGAGTCAGAGATTTTAAAGTTATGGTTCCCACAGCAACTGTAACTCTCATCTCTTGTACCTCTGCGATGCTTTGCAGGACTGTGTGTGCTATTAGATTTATGCCCAATGTGCTTATGTACAGCATAGCAAGCAGCGTGCAGAGATGCATGGGCTGGCAGAGCGATGCTGCGGGAGCACCAGGGCCAGATCCTGCACTGACCTGTGCCATGGAAACGTGGAGTCACTGGGGGTGGAAAAGACCTGTGAGATCATCCAGTCCAACTGTCCATCTCCCACCAATATTCCCCGTGCCCACTGATCACACCTTTGGGGTGGTGATCCCACCACTCCCCAGGCAGTTTGTACCAGTGCATCACCACATTTCTGAGAAGAAATGTTGCCTCGTATCCAACGTGAGCCTCCCCTGGCACCAGTGGGATGGGGAGTTTCTGATCACAGGCTGTGCTGCATACACTGAGTTTGAGGGGACTGGGGGTCCTGAGGGAGCACGAGCCTCTGCCTGGTGGAATGATGTTCACAGGGTCTCCATCCTGCAGTTCGCCATCACTTTGAGTTAATTCATTAGAAATCTGTTGGTTTGAATTACAGCTCGGCAAAAACCTGATGCAAATGTTTGCTGCACCTGATCCTTGAAGCTGCTTTGGGCCAGGAGAGGTTTGGGCATCCAGGTGTGAGGTTGGTCAGTGCTGCAGAATCCTCCCCACTTTGGTGCATCTGCATTGAGCTGGAACGGGGTGAAAAGGCTGGAAGAGACATGAGGTGCTGGAGGGCTGCATAACTCGTGATGAAACATAGGAAGGACAAAGTGAGGAGATCATTGAGTCATAGAATGGCTTGGGTTGGAAGGGACCCCAAGGATCATCAAGTTGCAACCCCCCCTGGCAGAGGCAGGGTCACCAACCTCCAGATCTGGTAGTAAAGCAGGCTGCCCAGGGCCCCATCCAACCTGGTCTTGAACACCTCCAGGGACAGATTGAAGGACCAGAAGGGGCTGTGGGATCTTCTTGGACCTCAGGACTTCCCTGTAGCCTTTTATTTCTCACTGGAGTAAAGCGTAACTTTTCTGAAAGCATCCAGCATTGATATTAAAAAAAAGTAAAAATAAAAATTGACAGTGATGGATAATCCACTACAACCCGTGGTAAATTATTCTAGTGTTTAATTACCTGTACTGCCAGAAAGGGAAGAAAGGAAAAACTACAGTATGGAGAGCTTGGAAAAACTGCATGGCCATCACTTGGCTCACAGCACAGCCCCTGTGTGGGGTCAGGAGTTGGTTTGGGGCAGTGCTTGGAGGGGCTCTCACTGATGAAGGGGTGCTCAGCACTGTGGGAAGGTCCGTGGCAGCTCATTGCCCTGCAGTCAGCAGTTCTGCAGCCCACATCATTTATAAAAGCAGAACCAGAGAGTGGTGGAGTCAACCATCCCTGGAGGTGTTCAGCACACGTGGAGATGTGGCACTGAGGGATGCGGTCGGTGGGCATGGTGGGACGGGTTGGTGGCTGGGCTAGATGATCTTAGAGATCTGTTCCAACCTCAATGACTCTGTGACTTGGCAGGGTCTGCAGGTGGCTTCCCTCAGCAGCTTTCCTTTGGTGCTTACCATATAAATCACACCCCTGCTGCTTTCCAGCTTCACCTGAGCCTTATTCCTGTGTTTGACCCCACAGTTTTGCAGTGCTGCCCGTGCCCTCTCCTTCCTCGTGCCACATCCTTAGCAGGACCAACCCCATTCTCCTCCTTGCTGTGTACACCTGGGATGTGTCCATGTCCCCACAGTGTCCGGGGGGTCACAGCTGCATGCAACCCGGGGCTCTCGGGAGAGCAGTGGGGAGGAAGGACATTACGCAGGAGAATATGCATGTTCACAGCTCACAGGATTAAAGGCCCATGTTCTTATCACTGCAGAACAGAGTATTATAAATCCAGCCTTAGCATACCAAATCCCCTCGCGGCTCGGCCATTGTTTGGGAATATTAAAAAGCTCTGAGACAGAAATAATCAGTTTCCGAATGACACATTGTCAAATAAAACATTTCTCATATTATCCCTTCCTTCCCCTTTCTCTCTCCCGCTCCCTCAGTTGGATAATTTAACATGAAAAATAGATTAAAATGAGGCTGGTTTGAATACCTCCTAAGTTTGACTTTTCTTTCCCCGGGAAGCTCTCCCTGCGTGTGCACGGCGCTCCAACAAGCGGCTGTGATGCGGGGTCAGGGATGTGGGGAGAGCATGAAACTGAGCTGCTGCTGAACGCCAGGGATTGGCACAGCTCCTGGGCACGTGGAGCTGACTCAGAGCCACCCAGCAGGGCCGTGAGGCTGAGCATGGGGCAGCGAGTGGTGGGGCAGAGCCCTGCTCCATCCCATTTGCAAGCCATTTCCCATTGGGAAAGTCAAGCTAAGCAATGTCATCCCAAATCCTCCAGCCAGGCTCCCATTGGTGTCAGTCAGTGGAGGCAGAGGGCAGAGCAGCAGGATCCTCCTGCAGTACTGCCCATTCTGCCCCAAGATGCCATCGCCAACACCATCCCCCTGCATCCCCTCAGCTCCATCCCCAGCACACTCCCTTCCCACGCCGCCTCTTTACAGATGATCCTCTCTCTGCACGGCGCAGTGCTTTGTATTGTGTGCAGAAGAAATATTTGCACGTCGTCACACTGCTCTTGCATGCTCTGTAAAGTTCCCAGCTATGGCATTCTTCGTGCCAAACAGATGCCTGCCCTGCCCCAGCTGCTGCACGTCACGCTGCAAAGCATCAATTGCTCACACTGCTCCTGATTTATGTGCTTTGCTCTTCTGCCGTGGGGTAACGTTGCTTTGGTGCTGCAGAGAGATGGAGGAGTCCAAGGTGGGGGGAATGCACAGCTCCTGCTGTGTTTGTGTCAGCCTCCAGAGCAGACAGGGCTGCCCCATGGATGAGAAGGCCACTTCCATGGAGACACTGGCATGAAGGAAGTTTGTGCTTTTAGGTAATGATCTATGATTTTGATCATAGAATCATAGAATCATGTAAGTTGGAAGAGATCTAAGATCTTTTCTAAAATCACCATGTCCAACCCCAGCCCACCCCCACCATGCCCTCTGACCACGTCCCTCACTGCCACATCTCCAAGTGTGTTGAACACTTCTAGGGATGGTGACCCTACTGCCTCCCTGCAGAGCTTGTTCCAAAACCTGACTGCTCTTTCTGAGATGCAGTGTTTCCTAATATCCAACCTGAACCTCCCCAGCTTTCTTGCCCTTCTCTGGACACACTCCAGAGCCTCACTGTTCTTCGTGTAGTAAAAGGCCCAAAACTGAACACAGCATTTGAGATGCAGTCCCACCAGTGTCAGTGCACAGGGACAATCACCTCCCTGTTCTGCTGGCTGACCTATTGCTGACTTTGGCCAAAGCCATTGGCTTTCTTGGCCACCTGGGCACGATGCTGGCTCATGTAATTAGGAGGTGTGGGAAGAGAGAGCTTGGCATTGAAGGTTGTGATCTGGGATAGGGTGTGTTGTGCCCATGCATGTAACCACAGCAATTCACCCAAAGGGTTGGCATGGAGGGATGCACTCTGCTGTGAGGGTGACTCCAGCAAAGCTCCCTAAGCATGTGAGCAAGAGGGAAGTCTTTAAATAATTCTAACACGATTGATGAGATCACAGTTGTTTTGGAGAGCTGAGGGTTTGGGTGCAGGATGCAGCTGTGAGATGCTCCTCAGAGCAGCAGCATCCAGAGGAGCCATGCAGGGGCCCTGCTCCATGGCCTGCCAATGCTGCTGGGTGGCCTCATCCTCCAGTTCTCAAGGAAGGAGGAGGGCTGGCTCTGGGAACGATGAGTGGCTTTGGTTCTCTGTGCCCTGGAGGGTGGCAGTTGGGTGGTGCCATTTGGTACATGGTCTTTTGCACAAAATGCTGTATCTCTGCAGAGACTTTATGGCTCCCTTGTTGGTTGCTGGGTTGTTTTAATGATTTTTTTGTCTCCTAAGCAGTGAGATGCAGATGGGAGATCCTTTCCCATCTCTTTGTGCAGAGCAGGCTGGCTCGGTTTTGTACATACATTGCCTCATAGAACCAAGGGGATGAGGAAAGAGTTCCTGGAGCGGGCAGAGCTGAGCTGGGGATGTCATTGTGGTGTTAAGGATCTCCTCCAGGACCCTGCCTGGAGGTTGGGCTGTGTCGATGAAAGGATTCTGTGTAAGCGGAGAGCGGGCGCTGGTGAATGCTGCTCCTCACCCATCGCTGTGTCTGCTGACGTGTCTCTCTGCTGTCCCACAGGGGGGGCTGATCGCTCTGCTCCTGCTCCTCTTGGTCTTCACAGTGGCCCTGTACGCCCAGCGCCGCTGGCACAAGCGCCGCCGCATCCCGCAGAAGAGTGCCAGCACCGAGGCCACCCACGAGATCCACTACATCCCCTCGGTGCTGCTGGGCCCCCAGGCCCGAGAGAGCTTCCGCAACTCTCGCCTGCAGGCCCACAACTCGGTCATCGGCGTGCCCATCCGCGAGACCCCCATCCTGGATGACTACGAGGATGAGGAGGAGGAGGAGACGCCGCAGCGGGCAGAACCCAGCACCAGGGAGGATGAGTTTGGCAGCCAGGTGACGCGGACGCTGGAGAGCCTGGGCCGGGGCGGGGAGGAGAAGCCCGACTACGAGAAGAAAGGTTGGTAGCTGTTCTTCATGGTCTTCTCCTCACCCTGTGCCCTCAGAGCGTCTGAGCTGTGTGGGGCTTCCTGATGAGGGGTTCCTGGAGCTGCTGTTTTGTCCTGAGCATTTGTCTTCCAGCTGATTCCATAAAACCGTAGAATGGTTGGGTTGGAAGGGACCTTACAGCCCCCCCAGCTCTCATCCCTGCCCCTCAGCTCAGGCTACCCCCCCAGCGCTGGCTGCCCAGAGCCCCATCCACAGCCTTGGGCACCTCCAGGGATGGGCACCCACAGCTCTGAGCAGCAGTGCCAGGGCCTCACCGCCCTCTGAGTAAAACATTTCCTCCTGACATCTCACTTAAATCTCCCCTCTTTTAGTTTAAAGCCCTTCCTCCTTGTCCTATCACTGTCTACCCTCATAAACAGCCGTTCTCCCTCCTGCTTATAATCTCCCTTCAAGCACTAGAAGGCTGCAGTGAGGTCTCCCTAAAGCCTTCTCTTCTCCAGACTGAACAGTTCCCGTATCTTGGATTGCCCCAACCCACGTGCAGCACCTCACACTTGGCCTTGTCGAGCCTCGTTAGGTTCCTGTGGGCTCACTTTTCATGCTGTCCATGTCCCTGTGGATGGCATCCCTTCCATTGTATCAACTATTACACACAACTCCACTTGGTGACATCAGCAAACTTGCTGAGGGTGCCCTCGATCCCACTGTCTGTCTCATTGACACTGTGACTTCTGGAAGCACACAGAAATGAGGAGTTTGCTAGGGAGCAGGAGGAGCATTTCCCCACCAAGGAGAGTTGCTCTTTTGCCATGGGTTTATGCAGAATGTCAGTCCCACTGTCAGTCCCACTACTCCAGCAGTGCTGATGAGCATTTGTTCCTATTCAGTCTGTGCTCCAGGCTTCCAAGCAGCTTGGGGATGCTGGGATCCCTGCTGACTTCTTGCTGTAGGTGAGCACTGGCACATGGGCATCAATCAGCCTGGGCTTTATTCTCTAGGTGGCAGAAATGCTCATTGCCTCGCTGTCAGGTAGTGCATCAATTCCAGCATAGAACATGTCAGTGGGGCCCTGCTGAGCAATGCTGCACCTCAGAGAGCTGCTCCACAGCGCTGTGTTTTCCAGGGGCACCAAAACATTCCCTGTGTTTTATTCTATGAGCCGTCAGACAGTGATCCTGGAGTTCTTAGGGTGCTGGGATGGGTTGGAGCTTCTCCCACAGGTAAGGCAGTGTGGTGCTGGGGTTGGGTGCAGCAGGACAGACAGGGAGCTGTGTGCCATGGACTCCTGCCTGGAGAAGAGCAGTGCTTTCCCCAGCGTGTCTGGGCTAATGCACATTTGATTGCTTGCTTTTTTAAAGTCTGTCTCTGGGAAAGTGTATCGCCCACCTCTGCTTATTGAAATATCATTAGAAGCAGTTTGATGTAGTTAACCTGCAACGTGGTGAAATGCGTTGGAATAAACAAAAGCGAAGCGCGTTGGTGCTAATTGCTGAGCGACTGCAGCAGGAGTGGGGATGGGCGTGGGGAGGGGTTTCTGCTTTCTGCTCACAGCGTGCATCCATCCTTGGGAGCGTGTCCTGCTCCTGTGCTGTCCCCAGTAGGAAGCAGAGATGGGGACAGGGACCCCAGAGCTTGGCTCCTGGAAAGCAGCCCCGCACACGTGGCATTGGAGGCTGCTCCTTACAGCTCTTTGCCCCTTCATCTTCCAGGCAGAGCTGTTACAGCAGTGATGGTTATCATAGCTCCAGCAACCCAGGGATCCTCCTGCTGTCCTCACGCACTGCTCGGAGCATCCCTGTTGGTGTCCTCCTTTGTGGCTCTCATCGGCTCGTGGGGTTAAGAGGTGCTCCCCCAACCCTCTGCACGGTGAGAGCGAACAAATGAAGGCCTTCATGTACTGTAACCGAGCTGCCTCTTTTATTCTTTCATATTCTTTTCTTTGTTTTGCTTTTCTATAAATTATTTAGAGTTGTGTGAGTGGGGGAGACAGCAGTAACTGCATTTCAGTGCTCTTCAAAACATAATAGTAAACAAGATCTAGGGCAGAATATTAAACTATCTCAGGTCTTCAGGAATTGGCAATAAAGTAATTCTTGTGCTGTATGCAGAAGACCCAAACCAGGGCTGTAGGCTGGGACAGGCTGCCCTAGGCCTGCTGCTATCCATGCAGTGCTGAGTTCTCCCATCAGGACAACATCATGCATTATAGCTGGACTTGAGGAGAGATTTAAGTGAGATGTTGGGAGGAAATGTTTTACTCAGGGGGTGGTGAGGCCCTGGCACTGCTGCCCTGAGCAGTGGGTGCCATCCCTGGAGGTACCCAAGGCTGTGGATGGGCCCTGGGCAGCCTGAGCTGGGGGTCAGACAGTCCATGGCAGGGGTTGGGACTGGGTGATATTTAAGTTCTCTTCCAACCCAACCCCTCTGTGGTGCTATTCATATGCTTTGTACTCAGCCCTCCAGCTGCTTTGCACGTGCCTGGGAGCTGCACAAACTCAGGATGTGTCAGACGTGCCATGGATGTGCTGCCTGCCAGCAGGCAGTGGGTGCAGCTGGGCTTCCCTGGGGATGTGCAGGTGGGACGTTGCAGATAACATGTGCCCAGCGATCCCCAGGGGGAAATCAGGGCTGTTGAGGCACAGTTTCACAGGTGGTTTTGAGATGGATGTGGCAAGGGAGAACTGTGGCAAGTCCCAGCTGGAGCCTGGCCCGGGGCTGCATTTGTATGGGTGCAGCAGGTTTGGCTGCAGAGCTGTGCCTGTGAGCCTGGCAGTGCCCAAGGGAGAAGCTGCGTGTGGTGCGTAACGTGGTGATAAGACATCAGCTGGGACTTGTCAGCAGGCTCCAAATGCTATCATTGCTGGGGCTGTCACCAAAGACTCTTTCAAGTGTCAGTTCCCGACGTTAATTACCAGGGATGGCAAATGCAATGAAGATGGAGTGCCTCGGCTCGCCCTCACCTGCCTGTGCCTCTCACTTCTCCCACGTGCCGGGCAGTGATTGATTTGCAGGTGCTGGTGCTTCCCATCCATTGGGATTCCTGCACGCTGTGAGCTGTGGGCTCAGTTGCCCTCGCCACTCAGAGGAGTGCTGTGCTCCCTGTTGGATGGACAACTCTGTGATGTTACAACCCTGCGGGATGGGTGGGCAGCACCCGGTGGATCTGCAGCACAGATATGTGCTGTGCCAAGCGTGGGTGCACCCGGTGCAAACACGCAGCACCAAATGTCCCCCTGCCTGCTCAGGCGATGCGCTGCAGCTGGCGCAGTGCAAACAAACACGGAAGCAGTGTGCTGAATAATGACATCTAGCAACAAGCGTGTAGCAGTGATAAAGTTAATGAAATTACAGGTTCTGACCTGATACCAGGCTCTGCAGCGGGTTGATAAACAGCAGGGCAAAGATGAGATGTTTATTTCTCCCCAGCTGCAGCCTGTAATCTGGATGCGCTGCGCGGGGACATTAACATTATTGCTGTTATGCAAAATCATTTTTGATTTGGGGGAAAAAAAAAAAAAAAAAGTAGAAAGAAAAATTCCCCCAACTGCTTGGAAAATGGAAAACTGACAGAATTAGAATTGCAGTAGGAGCACAAAGTGACCTCATGACATTGCACAGAGCCCTGATGAATTTAGACAGAAGAAAAATCTAAGGCAGTTTAGGAAGAAGGAAAGTAGTTTTTTTATTAACATATTAATATGAGAGAGAGAGAAGGAAATAGGCAGCTCTAATTAGCTGAAAGGAGGCCTATGTGCTGGCATGGAAAGGGAGCTGTGTGGTCTACCTGCAGTTTTGGGGTTGTCTATGGCAATTTGAGGTTGGAACCAGGTGATCTTTGAGGTCTTTTCCAATCCAAGGCATTCTATGATTCTGTGAATTAGAAAATCCCCTTGGGGTTTGTACCTCATGGATAGCATGTGTCCAAACCCATGTGTCCAAACCCACGTGTCCAAACCCACGTGTCCAAACCAGCCCCATGTGGATGACGTACTCTGCAGTGAACAGCAGTGAATGAACGTGGATAGAGCCCAGCAAGTGTGGCTGTGGGGTTGTCCTGGATTCCCTGGGCCCTCTGTGGGAAGGGAAGCCAGTGATGGGCCATGGGGAGGAGGCTTTGCCCTACCAGGATCAGGGACAGTGAGAGCCCAAGATCCTGCCTGGTGAAAACTGGGCAGTGCTGGCTGCCAGCAGTGCTGGTGCTGAGTGCTGTGATGGATCAGAGGTGTGCCATGACACCATCCTGAACCTACAGCTCGTGGCCTTTCTTTTAACCTGCTGCAGTAACATGATAAATCTCTGAAATTTCCCTTCCTTAATCCATGGAGACCCAATTCAGAGTGAGTGCTGCAGGGTTTGGAGATGAGTTTAAAGACAAGGACTGAGCTGGAGGTGATGCCCTGTGATGTGCAGGACCAGGACATTGTTCTCCATGGTGCAGATTGCACTGTGTTGTGCACACCACCACCATAGGGCTGAGGGCTGGAGGTTTGCTCTTGCTGGCAGCTGTAGGGCCCCACAAGTCATGGCTCTACCAGAGGCTTCCTGAGCATTCAATGAATGAAATGATGGCTTATCATTAGCCGGAGCTGGGAACAAAATGGAATGGTACATCAGGCTGGCATCTGATACGTCCTGAGGCTCAGTCTTCTTTTCAGTGACCTAATGGGATCGTGACCCTCTCTGTATTTGATCAGCTTTTCCTAGATCTAATCCCCGCCAGCTCCTTGCGTAATTTACAGAGACCTTTGACAAATGTATATTCATGCAGGCTGCGTGGCCACGGTGCAGAGGGTTTTCTGCACTCTGCTCATTCCTGGCTGCAAAAAAAAAAAAAACCCACAAAAAAACCAACCACAAATTCCAGTTCTGAAAAACTTAAAATATTTGGGACCCAACAGGGTAGGAATGGGTAGCAATTCAGGAGAGCATTCTGTCACGTGCTTAGCCTGTTCTCAGAGCATCTCCTGTTATCAGAGCAATTAAGCATGTCTTTAAGTGCAGTGTGCTTAATTCCAATTGATTTGAGTGGATTGCTGAAGAGAAATGGAGAGAATGGGCGACCCAGTTGCAGAGGTGGCAGTGGGTGTGCCTCTGGATCTTTTGGCTTATCAGTGATGCCAGCTGTATCTTAATGCTAATTCGAAAATGCATACAC